CAATTACATTGTTGCCGTCACTTCTTACCGATCTTATATATACAAAAAGCGTACATCTCGTTTCTTCGTGAACCTTCTAGAATATCATGACGTGTTGCCAGTGTCAAGTGACTACCGCTGTCGTAACACTGCCCCTACCTTAGTATTGTTCGTCACGAACAATAGCCACTTACATTAAACCAATAAACAATTAACAATAACTTAATTAAATGTACAGAATTTACAAACTCAACATTAAAATTCAACAAAATTTCTTAATTTTACGGGACTTATCTTCTTCCATACTGGTCTCCGTCTCGTTGGCTTCTGCTTCACATGGGGTTCATCTTCTTCATCAGGAAATGTTTTATCATCAGTGACAGTCACATCAGTGGTAGTAGCTTCATCAAGAGCTTCACTGTTTCCCTTTTCAAAACCGAGTAGAGTTTCTTCTTCGACAGTGGCTTTTTCAGTAGCGTCAGTTGTTCTGTTGTTCACTTCATTCCAAATGAAATGTCCTGGACCGTGATAATACCAAAGCCTGTTGGCATGCACCACTTTTGGCTTACCTCGCCGACCATATTTTATCTGGAAAGTCACGTCTGAGAGACGATCCACTATGTCATATGGGCCTTCCCATGAAGAAGACAACTTAGGAGACTTCCCTATGGTCTTAATGGGATTATACAACCACACCTTGTCTCCTGGTTCAAAGCTGACTTCAATAGATCTCTTATCATAAGTTAACTTCATCGAATCAGCAGACATTTTCAAGTTTGAACGCACTTGAGGGTGAATATCGCCCATCCTTTCCAATAACGCTTTCACAAACTCTGACACATTTTCAGGCAAATCTTCATAAGGTGGGTATCCTGTTAACAGATCCACTGGCAACTGAAGTTCCCGACCAAACATCAACTTTGCTGGAGTGTATCCAGTGGCTTCATGCACTGCTGTCCTATAGGCCATCAACAGTGGAGGGAGTAAGACATTCCAGTCATCTTGGCAGCTATTACAAAACTTTACCAATTCCTGTTCCAGTGTCCACTTGTACTTTTCTACCATCCCATCGGACTGTGGGTGAAGTGGCATTGTCCTGGTCTTTCGGATGCCAAACAACTTGCAGCATTTTTGGATCACAGCTGATTCAAAGTTACGT